CGGCGGGTTCACAGGTTTTATTTAATTAAACAAATACAAACAAGAGGGCCTTGCTTGACCAATCATGAGAATATGTCATGAACTAAAGATTATGATTCGTTTCTTAATTCTATAGACCTGAGGTCCACACAGGACCACAAAGGTAAATAATGCCACCAAGTTGAAAGCTTCCCTATTTCAATAATTGTTTCTTTTGAGACAGGCTCTCACTCTGTCACCCAGGCTAGCAGGCTGGAGTGCAGTGGCAGGATCTCGCTTCACTGCAGCCTTGACCTCCCAGGCTCAGGCGATCCTCCTGCCTCAGCCCCTTGAGTAGCTAAGACCACAGGTGTTCACCACCACGCCTGGCTAACTGTTGTATTTATTGCAGAGACAGGGTTTTACCCTGTTGCCCAGGCCGGTCTTGAACTCCTGAGCTCAAGTGATCCTAGGGCCCTGGGGCCTGGGCCTTGCAAGGTGAGGCCCATTCTTTTTTTTTTTAAAGAATGTTTTTATAGTATGATCTTAACAAAGCTTAAGAAAACAAGTTTTCTCAGCCAGGTAAGGTGGCTCATGTGTGTAATCCCTGCACTTTGGGAGGCTAGGGCGGGCAGATCACCTGAGGTCAGGAATTTGAGACCAGCCTGGCCAACATGGTGAAACCCTGTCTCTACTAAAAATACAAAAATTAGCTGGGCATAGTGGTGAACACCTGTAGTCCCAACTACTTGGGAGGCTGAGGCAGGAGAATCACTTGAATCCAGGAGGCATAGATTGCAGTGAGCAGAGATGGTACCACTTTACTCAAGCCTGGGCAAGAGTGAGATGCTGTCTCAAAAAAGAAAAAAAAGGTATGGTGGTTCACACTTGTAATCCCAGCACTTTGGGAGGCTGAGGCAAGCAGATCACGAGGTCAGGAGATCAAGACCATCCTAGCTAACATGGTGAAACCCCATCTCTACTAAAAATACAAAAAATTAGCCGGGTGTGGTGGCACATGCCTGTAGTCCCAGCTACTCAGGAGGCTGAGGCAGGAGAAACACCTGAACCTGGGAGGTGGAGGTCGCAGTGAGCCAAGATTGCGCCACTGCACTCCAGCCTGTGCGAAAGAGCGAGATTTTGTCTCAGAAAAAAAAAAAAAAAAACCCTCAAGTTTTCTCTCTAACAAAAAGTTCTCAAATGCAAATGCTATTACAATTTTAAACTTTTAAATAAAAACAGTAAATGTTCATATTCTGTGTTGCCAAATTAAAAGATTACCTCTCAACCACCTGCTTGTGAACCTCTTTCCATTGTTCCTTATCTTTATCAGTCCCTAAATCTGGGTGCAGAGTCTTCAGGGAGACACCAGCAACATTCATTCCACTCCATACAGGCACTAAAAGAAACAGTACAGACTACATCTATTTTCATGTACCAACAGATTAGTAATTATGATTCATTTTTCTAACTCTTATCTTCGGAGGAAGAATACTCAATTTTGGTAGATGGTCAAGACTACTAAAGTAGTCATTACTCATTTTTAGATTAGATTTTCATTTACTTACATTATATAAAACTAAGAATTTTCACTGTATTCTAACCTGTTTCTCTGGCCAATTGAAATGTTTAACCCACGTATATTTGAAATATAAAGATAGTATGAGAACATAAGGGGGGTTTTCTTAGCATACAGAACCAAATCATAACATTTTTCAACTGTGATAGTAATATAACTTTTGTGGACTCCATTTGGATTTGCTGACATTTTCAGGGCCAGGCAGTACAAGCCAAGTATAAACAGCTGTGATATTAAATGACTGAAGTCATCCTAAGAACTATAGTCTTAAGATATCCACGGTAAGAAGAGAAATTTCATTCCCCATCCCCCTCGCCATAAAATGCCATATAAAATGGCAACAATCTTAACAATTCTTAACATATAATTATATAAAATACTAGTTTTCAGGAAACCATTCTATCCTACTGAATGGATATTTGATTAGGCTCTAATTGAATAATACAATGCTCATCGACTTTTTATATAATCTTTTCGAAAACAAAAAGAAAATAACTTATGCTTACCACTGGAATCTCCATGTTCCCCAAGGACCCACCCATGACAGCTTAATGGGTGAACTCCCAGTCTTTCCCCCATCAGGTAACGGAATCTGGCTGAATCCAGATTGCAACCACTTCCAATAACA